TGCTGTTTGCATAAAAATGCAATGCCCTAGAATTTGTAGGCAGCACAATTAGTTTAAGCACCTTTTGGAACAGTTCTCATGTCACGCTCTATGATATCTTTAAACGCTGTCACTGTACGCAGCTCACTAGGTTTTGCGACAGATCTAACATGTCTATTCCTGCACCTTTACATCATACCGATATAAGTAAAAGAGTAGGTCTTGAATTATACTGAGTCCCGTGTGACCTAAAAAAATGAGAGAGGAATTGTCTCTTGTATTTATCTTCATTTGTTTCTTTGTGATCTAAATCTAATTGCCTTTGCGGGTCTCAACGGATTCTCCCCGGTTAAACACATTACACCCACATTAATAAATCATGAGCTGCACTGTCACAAGGAAATAAATTATGCTAAATAATATCCTATAACTTCTCTAACTAATTAAAGCCGTGTTGATGACTTGAGGAATGGATTCTGCGAGGCAGATCCACAAACTCCATTTGTTTGCCTCTTCAAGTTCTCTCTATTCCAAAAGAGACCGTGAAGACATCAAGGATACCGAAGTGACTTTCTTCTCCAGCTGACGACTGACAAGATCTCTTGTGGGATGTGAAGCTGTGCGAATTCTCCAGTTAAAAAACGAAGAGGGCGTTGAACGGCAATGAAGACTCACCGAGAGCCTCTCGAGAGGGTTGTGGAGGCTCTCAATTTTTCCCACAAAGCTGTAGCTGTGACAGGCTGCCAGCCCCTCTGATGACGAGCTTCAGAAACACACATCAAGACTGCCAATCCAGTGGACCAACAGCACCGAAGCTGCACCACATCAACTGGGCTTCACTTTATGGGTGGCATTTTGAGGCTTGTTCTGTGAACACGAGCACTGAAAAGAATCTGATCACTATAAATAAAAAGGGATAGTTCACCCAAAACCGAAAATTCTTTACCTTCAAAAGATCACAAAAGATTTGAATTTGTCCATTCGATGGAAGTCATGAGGGTTCAATGTTGTTTGGATCAGAATTGTCACTGTCAACTAAAACGTTTTTAATCGTTTTCGTTAACTGAAATAAATCTGAAAAAAAAAAAATATTAGATGAAAAATAAAAAAAAAAAAAAATTTGAAATAACTGAAATAAGCTATATGTACTAAATAAGCTAATAAGTACTAAAATTACTAAAAGTTAAATAGAAATACTTAAAATGACAAAATAAAAACAACAAAAGCAAACATAGCAAAATCACTAAAACCTAAACTAAAATGATTTTTATATTTTTGTTTTTTATTTTAAAGAATTAAAAATAGTAATACCATAACATAAACAATACTAAAATTATATTAAATATACAAAATTCCAACAGATTTGGAACAACACGAGAGTGAGTAAATAATGACAGATATTAATAAATACTATAATATAAATAATACTAAAATTATTTTTAAAACACTAAATTCTAACAGATTTGGAATGACACGAGAGTTGTTCACAAAACAGTAGAAAGATGAGGGAAATTTCATTATTCGCTTTGCAACATCTCTATTGGAATCTATTGTAATGGGAGTCTCCCGTGAGAAGCAATATTTCAAATCATTCACTTTCAGTAGAGGTTCTATCTATTTTCTTTTCTATTCTATTCAACAGACACTGACCTTGTGATATGGTCTCTGGATTTAGTAAACAATATCCCATGAATTATTCCACCAGAATTCTTTTGATAAATCACTCACTCACATCTTTCTCACAATCCATTTTTGTTTAAAAAGTGTTTTCCTGACCTTCCTTTTTCTAATCTCTATTAATTAAAATATAAAATATAAAGTTATATATTTAACTATAAAGTTTATATAAACTATAAAGTTTAGGAATTTTTCTAAACTAGGACTCAGGTGCAACTAAAGAATATCCAGACGCAGAAACAAGAAACATGTTAATGCAAGGTGATGCTCTCATACTCTCCTCATCAAAAAGGCCAAAAATGAAATAAAAAAGAAGCGAGTTGTACAACAAGGAATCCAACCTAATATAACCCTCTTTGCTATCCTGATCTTGTAAGCCATGGCTTCGCTAATATAAAAACTTTGATGTGTGACATATCAGAACCTGATGGCGTGAGAGGAGTACTAAAATTACTAAAAGTTAAATAGAAATACTTAAAATGACAAAATAAAAACAACAAAAGCAAACATAGCAAAATCACTAAAACCTAAACTAAAATGATTTTTATATTTTTGTTTTTTATTTTAAAGAATTAAAAATAGTAATACCATAACATAAACAATACTAAAATTATATTAAATATACAAAATTCCAACAGATTTGGAACAACACGAGAGTGAGTAAATAATGACAGAATTTTAATTGTTCGGTGAGGCATGAAAGCTAAATTTAAAAGAACAAAAAATTATTAAAATAACTAAAACCTAACTAAAATTTAAAAATACTAAAATTATTTTTAAAACACTAAATTCTAACAGATTTGGAATGACACGAGAGTTGTTCACAAAACAGTAGAAAGATGAGGGAAATTTCATTATTCGCTTTGCAACATCTCTATTGGAATCTATTGTAATGGGAGTCTCCCGTGAGAAGCAATATTTCAAATCATTCACTTTCAGTAGAGGTTCTATCTATTTTCTTTTCTATTCTATTCAACAGACACTGACCTTGTGATATGGTCTCTGGATTTAGTAAACAATATCCCATGAATTATTCCACCAGAATTCTTTTGATAAATCACTCACTCACATCTTTCTCACAATCCATTTTTGTTTAAAAAGTGTTTTCCTGACCTTCCTTTTTCTAATCTCTATTAATTAAAATATAAAATATAAAGTTATATATTTAACTATAAAGTTTATATAAACTATAAAGTTTAGGAATTTTTCTAAACTAGGACTCAGGTGCAACTAAAGAATATCCAGACGCAGAAACAAGAAACATGTTAATGCAAGGTGATGCTCTCATACTCTCCTCATCAAAAAGGCCAAAAATGAAATAAAAAAGAAGCGAGTTGTACAACAAGGAATCCAACCTAATATAACCCTCTTTGCTATCCTGATCTTGTAAGCCATGGCTTCGCTAATATAAAAACTTTGATGTGTGACATATCAGAACCTGATGGCGTGAGAGGCTATAACAGAGAAATGATAGCTGAAGCCAGCGATCCACCTGACATCTTTGACACTGTAGCTTGGAAAGCACCAACAGATCTAAAGTGAAATGTTCATTCTGTCATCTGAGATGCTTGATAAGATTGCACATTAATGACATATCAACCAGAAGACCAGATTGACTGCCAGACATTTCTAGGTGATTTAAAGATTGAAGGATCAATCTCCATTACAGATCTGAGCCCGAGGAAAGGAGTGCAGACATTTGCTTCTGCCATAGTGCGCTTTTATCATCAGAGATACACTACATCACTTCTGGCCACCTTATAGTACCTCAACACACTTGCCCTGCAATGCTTCACAAGCATTCACAAGCTTCACTGAGTATTACAAAATAAAAAAAAATTAAAAAAATAAAAAATAAAGGTAGGGGTCTCATCTGCTGATGTGGATTCGTAAAAGCTTTCAGGATAAAAATGTAATACATATAAAGTGCTCCATGGATCTGGTAATCAAGTTACATGGCTGGTTTGCCATTTAATTGGGTACAGTATTTGACATTTTAATTAAATATTTGCTCACTATTTCTACACACATGAGCAGACGATGGACTATTTAATAAATTATTAGCTGAAATGAAAGAAGCAAAGATGGGAAAATAGAGGAGAGAGAAAAAAATTCTTTACAGATTCACAACTGTATGCAAGAACTAGATGTTTACAGTTTCAGAAAAAGTTTACAGTTTCAGTGCATGGTGCTGGCCTGTGCAAAACTCATCGCTATGTTGCTAAGGCATTTCGAGTAGTTGTTATTGCATTGCAACATACCTTGGTTGCTAATGTGTTCTGAGTGGTTGTTAATATGTTGCTATGCAGCTGCTGGAGTGTTCTGCTTGGTTGTCTTTGCGTTGCTATGCAGTTGCTAGGTTGTTCTGCTAGGGTGGTCTTGCATTGTAGCATATCTGGTCGCTAAGGTGTTCTGAGTGGTTGTTAATATGTTGCTATGTAACTGCTAGAGTGTTCTGAGTGGTCATTGCGTTGTTGTGGGGTTGCAAAGATGTTCTGATTGGTTGTCATTGCATTGCTATGCAGTTGCTGAGGTTTTCTTTGCATTACTGTAGGGTTGCTGTGGTGTTCTGAGTGGTTGTCATTGCGTTGCTTTGTGGTTGCTGGGGTGTTCTGAATGGTTGTTAATGCATTGCTATGCTGGTGCTGATGTGTTCTGAGTGGTTGTCATAGCGTTGCTATGTGGTTGCTGGGGTGTTCTGGATGGTTGTTATTTCATTGCTAAGTGGTTCCTAAGGTTGCTAAGGTGTTCTCAGTGGTTTTTATTGTGTTACTACGGGGTTGCTGGGGTGTTGTGATTGCATTTCTACTCATACGGTTGTTCTGAGTGGTTGTCATTGCATTGCTATGTGGTTGCTGAGGTGTTGTGAGTGGTTGTTAATTCATTGCTATGTGGTTGCTGGGGTGTTCTGAGTGGTCGCTAGGTTGCAACACTATCTTGCTCTCAAAAACAGCTAGACGGATGAAACAAAATGGAAGAGGAAAATAGGAAAAATAGGAAAATATTGGAAATAGGACAAATATAATTAAAAAAATCTAGACAAACTAGTCAGTCTCACTATTTGATTAGTCACCTGCTGTATTACTAGGCAAACAGGCTCTATTAGCTTAAAACTCTCCATGCAAGCACTGCTTCCAGCTCTAAATAGAATTTTAGACCCATCTGTGACAGTGAAACACTGAGGAAAATCCAATAAATGTCTTTACTGACCTTACTAGTAATGCAAGTTGATGATCTGCAACATACTTATTAAAAAGCTTACGGAGCTTAGACATAAACAGAAAACACTGATAGCCAAGCTGAGGGATTACACACTGCAAAAGAAGTACAAAATCAGATGTTACCTTTGAAAGGTCACCCACTTCCAAATAGAAACAGATGATGAAGACGTTCCAGGCGACCCACAGCACCAACCAGACTGCATACTGTGAAAGAGACAGGAAGAGGGTGTTTGAAAGACCTATTTTAACCTCAGACCCCCTAACAACCAACTAACCAAATACACATTTGCATATGTTTGATTAATTGGCCTGTAAAAGCGTAAGTGGGATATTTTCTCTGTAATTAATTCTCCGATGTGTGTTCCTTAAAACATTCAGCCTCCACAAATCTGGAATCTGCCAAAGAAGCGGTGCAGGCAGATGATGCATTTCGCAGCGGAAGCAGGAACCCTGTGTGGGAGTTTGTGAGGGTGGCTCGCTCCCTGGTTCATGAGCTAATGCTTATCGAAATAGCGGGATGTGATTATAAAACAATGAAACCAGCAAAAATTTCCCCAGCAAAATTGCAGCCGGCGCAGGGGGGTGTCTTTAAAAATAAAGCAAATTTTGGTTAAATAAACACAGGTCTCATCCTGTTTCAGATCATTACGACATGCAACAAACCAACATTATGTTAAACGAATTTGTTCAAAAGACGAGGGTATACGCTCACGAGTATTAGCAGCTCGTAGCATGTTTTTACTGATTAAAATGTAAGAGGTCTGTTAGGCAGGCAGTGATCTTTAGATAAAATAACACTTATCTGATCCAATTCAAAGTGAGACAGGTGAGTGCAAATGAAATACTGAGCGAGGGGAAATGCGAAATCAATTTGAATTACCTGATGGGACTTGAGCGGAAAAACATGGCCTTTAGCGCTTGAAAATGAGCAGTTAGCAACATGAATTTTGAGTAGCTCCCCAAAAGTGGCTCTAATAGATAGATCAATATGGACTTAGCTTTGATAAAAATGAGTATCTGCAAAGACACTGCAACCTTCCTTTACAAATGTACCAGATCGATTCTAGGGGTGTGCACCAATCAGATTTGAACTGTGAATTCTTTTAAAAAAATGTATTCAATTCCTTAATTTGAACTGTGATAGAGTATGCAGAAACAAACTTAAATTCTAATAAATTTATAAAAATTATTTTAGCAACAAAATCAAACATTTTCAAACTTGACTGTTGGCTTGATTAAACCTTTTGAAAAAATGTTTTAAAAACTTTCAAGTGCAAAGGTATTCAGCAAGACAACCAGATAGACAGACATTCCATGTGTAGTATTTCTTTGAATTGCAATTCAGTACATTTCTTTTCCTGTCATTCGAATTCAACTTCCTGTGGTGAGTGGCCAATTTGAAATCCCAACACAGGAAGTTTATTCTTTCTACCAGTGCTGGGAAACTGCAAAATGTAAGCAAAGCAAAAGGTACCTAGCAAGGTTATTTTCGTAAACGAAAACTGAAACTATGACTAAAACTATTGGTCAAAAAACATTTTCGTAAACTGAAATAAAATTAACATTTCTAAATAAACGAAAAACTAAAACTAAACGAAACTAACAACAGTTACTGAAAAACTAACTAAAATAAAATAATAATTAGCAAAATTAAATAATCGTGCTCGTGATTTAACAAGCTCTCATTCTGTGCCAGAAAATCTGACCAGTGGTTGTTTAGGGAAATACCTGGAGATGGCGCTTCATGCACGTGAGCTGAGTCCTAAACGGTTATTAACAGAGAATGCATTTTTGCATTTAAAAAACAAGACGCGGGCAATGAAATGGGAAATAACTATAAAACATGAAATGGGAAATAATAATAACAATGCACACCTTACAGCTCACAGGGCTTTAAAAGCGTGCTTGACGTGCGAGAATGACATGAGAGTTAACAGAGACAGAATTACAATTTTTGGATGAGTCAAGTCAAGTGACCTTTATTTATATAGCACTTTTAACAATACAGATTGTGTCAAAGCAGCTTTACAGTATCAAATAGGAAAATAGCGTGTCAATGCAAAAGGACAATAGTAAACACTCAATTTTCAGTTAAAGGCAGTTCATCATTGATTCAGTGATGTCATCGTCCAGCTCAGCTCAGTTTAAATAGTATCTGTGCAATCAAGTCAACGATATCGCTGGAAATTAAGTGAGCTGACTTTAGTGAATAGTCATTTTGTCACGCTTTGCGATTACTATGGCAACGTCCGCCTCGAGTCCATGACACGAGCACTGCCTTGACTGTACAAAACGAATTAAAATGAGAAAAGCAGTGATTTCACAGCTTGCCGTGTCCTATAAAAAAGGGGCTTTAGAACTGGGATTGATTGCGTTGCTCATCTGAAGCGGCTCGTCAAAGTAAAGTGCAAACATCATTTAAATTACTAAGTTGCATATTTTGGGTTTTTGTTCAATTGTAAACAATTATTTTATTTTCATTATTAAGGTTTGCACTAGAGTTAACTGTAAACTGTGCAAACATTCAACTTTGCCCTAGCCAAGCTACTCATCCAAAATTCTACCAATAAATTAGCAGAAGATGGCTAGCTCGCTACAAGCTACATGGTGAAAGTAGCTTCTTACATTTAAGCTACTTTCTTAGTTTTAATAAATATGGATTATTAAAAATACTTATGTAATTTGATCTAATACATATTCATTTATTTGCTAATTGGTCATCACTAGTTAGTTTCTATACAACCAACAAATGGACACGCTAATATATTGTCCGGGAAAACATAATGAAGTCTGTCAATGCTACCCAGCAACTAAAGTCAATAAAAGTCAATAAAACAGCTTTGCTAATGAAGCGCTAAATTATTTAAAAACTAATGATACTCCTGATACTGAGAAAAGTAGCTAATATCTTAACTAGCTGTAGCAATGCTACTGCTCAATCTTAAGTGCAAACAATCCTGGGCAGCACTTGTTAAGTCTTATGTCCCTAAGCTGGTTGGCTGGTTGGCTGGTTGGCTTCTTTAGCTGGGAGACCAACTGACCAACCAGCTAAAACCAACTGAACACCAGCTTGGCCAGGCTGGGAGACCAGCTAAAACCAGCTTCCAGCTTAAGACCAGCCAACCAGCTTAGGCTGGTTTTAGATGTTTTTTGTTTTTTTTTCAGCCAGGACATTAAATGACCTGTTGTTGTATGTAGCTGAGTCGATCTCCAACAAAACTGAGCATCATTGCAGCCATTTATTAAGGCTGACCTTGTACAAGAGGGCTGACCCACTTCGTCCATACGCGTGTCAGTCACAATGTACCGTAGCTGTTCTTTACTTACAGATTTGCAGTTATATATGCAAAAATCTGTGAGAGCCTCAGGCTAGGGCCAGAGATCAACACATCACTCTTATCTTCCAACTACAGCGTGGTTGAAGTATCTCCACACATTGCTGTATAAGAAGGAGCCTCCTCCGCATGTTAGAGCAGGAGGGGTCTAGACGGAGCGATTGACTTCAATTAAGTCTCATAATCCTGCTAGATATATCCAGCACGCATTCCGAGTTGATCCAGAGGGAGGAGGTAATGAACGTGTTTTCAGCAAGGGCTGTTTCGGCCTAACCTTTCCCCCAAGAACTCACACTTACAAACAGAGCGCACCAGACCGTTGAGACTCGGAATTTTGCCATCTTGAAATTTGACATGTTGTCAGTACATTAGATACAGAAGATGTGGGCATGTAGTGGAACCTCATTTGGCCCTTTGCCAGCCACTGGAACGTGCCAAATTGAATTAGAATAAAAATGTATCTGGCCTGACAGCATTCCCAAAACGGATATAAGCAAGAGTAATGTTCGAATGTGAGCAATTTATCTCTGTAGGAGGCTCTCTCTCCATCTCTCTGACCGGCCACTGCTCCTAGACTGAAAAATCGAGCATTGTTTATTCCAAAGGGAGACACATAACACTAAAAAGGCAATCTGCTTCATCTCAACTGGGTGCCATGGCCCGAGTCACATTTGAGGGAATGACCCGGTCCGTCAGTACATTGATATCTCTCTGTTAAGCTGACCAGGGTGTTAAATGTCCGTTGTACCTGACTGTAGAGAAAGGCAGTCACAACAAGCGGTCTGATCTCAGCCGTGCTGAATGTGGTGAACAGCAAATGTTCTCCCTTAATATAATATATTAGGTATGACTCAATTGATGGACTGGACACCAATATAGATCATACGTAAAACTGTCACTTGAATAATTTGTTTCAGAACCTGATGCATTTTGTCCCTTAGTTCATTTCGTTAGTTATATATTAACACAGCAATCACTCGGATTGAAAAATTGGACCAAAACCATAAGGAATAATTATTTCTATGAACCGAGAGAAAGCTGCAATAAACCCATTGATTCTGACCAATGAAGGAAGAGTTTGCTCATATCCTTGCCGAAAAAAAAAATCTTAACACCAGCCTAAACTGGTCTTAGTTGGTCTCCCTGCCTGGTCAGGCTAGTCTGACCAACTCACCGCCCAGCTAAACAAAAGTTTAGCCAGCCTCAGAAACTAGACTGACCAGAATGGTAAACGATCTTCAATCCAGGTAGAAAGCTATAATAAACTCACTGAGCATCTTAACATCTTGAAACTAGCCTAAACTGGTTTGCTTAAAGTAGTTTACACCAGCAAACCAGTTTAGGCTGGTTTAAGTTAAGGCAGTTTATTTTAGCAGAGATGTAACTTTTATTAAAAAATGGTTGTCTTTTTTTTATATGTAGTGTACCAAAGTAAGGAGAAACTGCAAACTACAGGTCTAAAAAAACACCCTACAACTGTCTGAGAACTTTGCATGATACAACAAAAAATTTTCATCGAAAAGTCTGTCCATGGTCAGTGTGAAACAACAATCACACCCAATCATAACATATTTGATGCTTAAGAGCGCATGTGGAGCAGGATAGACCAATGAGATTCCACTGAAACCAAACGACTGTCAAAATGTCTTGTTGCTCATCACGGTTGCAAAACATTAGGACAAAAACTTATATTTGTTGCTTATTGTTATGTTGCATTGTGCCTGGCTAGGATTTGAAGTGAGACACCTTTATGACACCAGCGGTATTAATAGAGCAAAATGAAAGCATAACCTGCAAAGGAGAAAGAGAATATATGTCACAAACTGAATATGAAAATGTGGAAACTCACCCCGGTCACATATCGCGGTCTGAACTGTATTGTCCCAAAGAGACCTAGAATCACTGTGATGATATGGATGAAGTTTGTGAGGATCGGAGCCCACTGGTATCCAAGGAAATCAAATATCTGTCGCTCCAGGATGCTGATCTAGAAATGAAACACAGAGGAAAAAGATACTGACTTACAAAGCAAAGACGAGGGCAATGCACTGACATGTAAGCATTTATTTGCATAAAGGCGTAAACAGATTTCCTTTTAAACCAGGTTCAGGGGTTGCTATTATGACAGCCCTCTGATGTCAGCTGGAAGGCAGGGTGAGTTGACGGACCGCGGGGCCCCATGTGAAAGCACACGCGCCTACACTCTACATGCAGCCAGAGGAATAGCCCTGTCACACAGGCGATTAATTAGGACCGAGACGTGCCACTCTCCGGAGTCAAACCCCCCACCTTTTCGCAAAAACCAGAGATGACTTGGAAATTAAAGCTGGCAAGTCCAGCCTCGCAGCTCTGGGTGCTCCAATCTCAGCCACTGATTGGACATGACACTGATGTCAATACCACAAGCTATGGCACTTACAAAAGCAGACCAAGACGGGGTCACGGCTTCATCCCCAAAGGACCTACAAGCAGCCAGCCTCATAAACCTAATGCTAATAGCACCCGTGTCTCCAGCTGCATTCACAAGAAGCTCCGTTTAACAACCTCAGATGCTCAAGGTCTTTTCTGGAAAGGAAACCAAACAAAAATCACGCCATTGAATCACTTGATTTGTCTTGTGATCTAATGGGGGATAGTTAAGAGCAAAGATTCGGGATGAAGGTTGTTCAATAAAGCTATTAAGGTCACAATGACATTTGTGTTTTCAGCGGTTGCATTTTTAAACATCTACTCAAGTGAACATCAATAGAGGCTTCAGAGGGTTCAATAGCAGCATGAATCAAATGACTTAAGAGTCGCACCGAGAAGCTGTATTTAAGTGTTTCCTATTCAGTGCTGTTTTTGCAGCAGAGGAGACCCTGTTCAACCCTACAGTCCACCCAGTGGATCAAATAAATAAAAAAAAATTTTTAATAACTTTTGCTGAAATTAATAATTAATTGAGATTTTTTAATTATAACTTTGATTAAATAAAGAATTATTTAAATTCAATTAATTTGAGCAAAAAAAAATAATAATAAGAATAAGAATAAAAGTATATAAAAAAAGGATAAAAAACCCTAACATGTATCTTAAACCAGAGGACTGTGACCCACTGGGAGGCCCCAGCAAACTTTTAAAGGGGCCACAGCATGACTTAAAATTGTTTAATTATTTAATTAATATTAATCGTATTAACAATAATATTAATATTAATATCAATGTAATTAATATTAATATTAATCAAAACTTAATTATACATGTATTTTAATCATTAATGAATAATTATTCTAATTTAAAAATTGCAAAAAATTAGATTGGTTTTATTGAAAAAGAATACATACAGAATTAGAATCTTGAATTTTCTGGAATTACAAAATACATCATGGTTAATTATATATCAACACTTCCAGTTTCTGTTACATATGAATAAAAATAAAGTCCTGTGGTTCGGTGAGTGAATCAGAAGGTAATTCAATAACCTCTCTGACAAAGTGTTTCATTCAGTGAAGGATTTGTCAGACTGATTCAAACTCTGTTTTTGTATCTTATCACATTCAGTTTAGATGACAATCTCACAACTTGGTTAAAACATAATTCACCATGGCGCTGTAGACTTGTGCAGGAAACACTGCTCTTTGTAATTGAGCAATAATTCATCCTATGAATCTTTCATCAGTGAACAAAGCTCAGGAGTCTATTAATCTGTGCATTCTGTTCAGTTCTGCCCAGTGATGACCAGTTTGTGACCCCCTCCACCTCTGGTCTCCCCAAGGGACGTGTCTTCTGTTGTCTGGGCGTTTCCTTTGAGCTTCTGCTAGCGTACATCTGGTAAGCGTGGCTGTCCCAAACACTTATGTCGTTGATCATAATGAAAGGTATTATACTGACAACACCAAGCAACACCAGCGCACTTCACACGAGTCTCTTAAGAATCATCACAGCTCTAGGGTGCAGTTGAGATTAGGTTTGTGTCAGAATAAAACTGGTTCCCTTTCCAAGTGGCTTCTACTTTTTTTTAAAACACAATAATGTTTTGCCTTCCCATTCAGCCTTCAAATAATTCTCTGGTTTTGGTGTGTTTTTATGAATCACGGCATGTGATTTCCCCCTACTCTAACTCTTGTTTATTTTCACTGTCCTATATATATTCTCTATGAAACAGAAGAATGATAAGATGAATGCATTACCATCTGATTTCTTAAAGGAATAGTTCACAAATAAAAATATTGTCATTATTTACTCACCCTCATGTTGTTCCAAAAACACAGACTTTTTGAAACTCAAAATGATGTTTGTGAAGAACTAATTATACTGGTTGCTCTTTTTTATGCAACTACAATGCATGGGAACTGAGGATTTCAGTCTTCTGAAAAGGACACAAAAGTACCATAAAAGTATCACTTTAATAAGACTCGTGCTGTATTTTAAGATTTCTGAAGTCACACATTAGCTTTGTGTGAAGAAACTGAAATTTAAGTTGTAACTCACAAAAAAAAAAAAAATCGCAAAAGGTCTCCTTTGAATGTTCATAAGAGAAGTAGCAATGCCCAGTTTTTGGGAGTCAAATCTTTTCAATAAATTGACCAATCCTGTTGGCAAAACTGGTCTGAATGACTGGTTCATGAATCAGCTCACTTCATCCAGTCACAGCAGTTAACAGCTTACTGGAGGGGAAGATTATTATTTAAAAATGACTCAAAATTTGATATAAAGTCACATGGTCTAACTTTGACATTTTGGAGTCTTCATTCTAGCATGGAAAAGAGCGACCAGTACAAATCTTCAAACATTCTCCTTTTGTGTTCCTCAGAAGAACGAATGTACAAGTCTGAAATGCCAACTCGATGAATACATAATGACAAACAAAACAATAATTTTGGCAGGAGTATTCATTTAATAGGTTGTTTTCTATTATCCACCAAAAACTGCATATATGAGCTGGAGAGCATGATAGCACTATGCTCAATCCATAACACCTTCATTATCAGAAGCATTTCTCATCAGATGAGCCATGCATTACACCCTATTCTCAGAACAATAGTTCGCCCATAGTTGTGTAGCAACTACAAGCACACAGAAAAAAAGAAAAACGATTGATTGGCCCGACTCAGCAGTTCCATTGCTTTTGCAAAGCCTTGTGAAAAACTACAGCCACCCCTGAAATCCACTAATAAACCACATGCCATGGTGTTGAAGGGAGCCCATACGCCAGCACAAAACACAATCTGCCCTGCCTGCGAAGAGGTTGCAAAATGCAAATATGGTTAATTATGCTATATTATGTTGTTCGGTGAAAGATGGTATGTTGACAATGGCTTTAAAACACATCTTAATGACACTCAAATTCACAGTTCTCTTCTGTCAGGCTTTTGTGGACACCTGCGCTTATTGACAGAATTCCCAAAAGAGCCCTAGCCTTAACACGCATGTCCAATGGGGGTGGGTACAAGCTTAAGGGGTTTTATGAAGAGGCTTGTTTGAGGTGGGGGGCCAGGATCATCATTAATGTCGCCCATGGGCCCCCCTTTTATATAAACCGTAATGTAAACAGCATTGTGGGGCAGCTGTGCTCAGGGTGACAGATTTATTAAGTCATTTTATACATGAGTAATTAGATCTATAAATATGAGAGGAAAATCATCTCATTAATGTTCAAAAGAGTGAGATTTGGAAGTGGAAAGGCCTTAAAAGAAGAACATTTAAGGCCTGACTACCCACTAACAACAAAGAGATATCCTATTGTTTCAAGCAGAAAGCAAACATTCAGTACTTCAGAATAGTATGCATGAGTTTGTATCTATATCTTACTGATCACAAACTGAATGATAGTATATACACACATGGGGCAGGACATCAGCTCAATTCTACATTAAATACTGCATGTTGCTACAATTTACATTTACTTATTTAGTAGACGCTTTTATAACTTACAGTTCATTCAATGTAATCATTATAGCAGTATTTGGGAATTGAACCAATGACCTTGCTGGCATCATGTTTTGTCAGTTTGAGCTATGAGAACATTGCTTCAAGCTATTAAAGTAGTAAACAGCTCACAGTTAGCATAATGAACAATATAACTTGGCGGAAGAATTGTTTAGTGCAATTATTAATATTAATACATGCAATTATTTATTGTAATATTGCAGTTGGCATCATTTTATAGAAGCAATAAGCCACTCAAGACCATACTGTGTTCTACCATTCTACCATGGTCGAGGAGGATTTTTGTATTGTTTTTTTTGGTAACAACGCCCTTTAACTGTGGTAAATTGACAATGAGGAGTGAGAGTGTCAAGCTAAAAGCATCACTAAACCGATTCCATAATGAATATCGAATCCAAAGGTCAGCATAACCAATTCCTGTAATGATATTTTCCCTTCCTTATGTGCACATAATGTTTTTTCATGATTATTACTTGGCAGCAGAAGCATCCCATTAGCGATTAGTCGCTATAGTGCATGCTTTCAGTCCGTGATTGAGATTAAAGTTCATTCTCCCTGTGAGAAAGCCGAATCTCATTCTCCCAACCTTGTGCTTTCGCTCGCCTCTCTCCCGCTTCCCATTTATATATTTATTTCGGTGCGCAGGGACATGAGCAGCCTTTAATCAGAGAGACAAAAGCTAATCAATCAGCAGGGGCAGGTTGAATAGAGAGCTTCACGGCGCATTCAAACGAAGCTAGCCGAGTTATAGCGTTTCCCAGTGTTAGCGCCACAGAGCATTGACTACAGAATAAGCACGGGCTAATGAAGGCGGCTCCCATGCAGCACGGCAGAGGGAAGGCGCATCTTGGCCTGCCTCCATTGTCCGTCAGTAATCGAATTCCATCTGCTGCTGCCGCCAGTGATTTTAATGTTGCTCTGCAGAGATGAGACTGCAAAAATAACAGCAGAATTGAATGGTTAATTAAACTATGACACATTCGATTGGAGTGGACTAAACAGACGGAGGGTTTGACATTTAAAAAGTAAGTATAAACTGCTAACGTGGGTATGAAATAC